GGAGTCTCCGTTGTTTTGCAGATACAGGTGCCCGAAATCCAGTCTTAGTGACGTAACTCTCTTGAGGGACACAGAATACCCAGAAACACCCTTAGATGCAGCACTTTTTTCACACACCTTCTCAAATGCCTTCCTCCCCTTAGTGTATTCCTTACTAGACATGCTAACACCACTATCCTCAAGCTCCTCTTGCATATCAGCAGCAGTAATAGTTAGATCATAATTAAACTCTTTAGGGAACATATCATCTAATGAGGGGTTAGTAGCAATATCATCGAATGAGGGTATGTAAGTATCCCTAGCAGTAGTAGCAATAGCATCATTAGTGGACTAGTATGTCAATCTCAATCTCCTCCTAGGTTTGATTTTGGTCATTGGAGCACTTGAAGGTTGGGAAGAAGAGGGGTTATTTTCAAGTCCAACAGTAGGTGATGCCCCATCATTTGTAGGCTGGTGAGAAGGTGTTGGTGGTGCTTGATTTACAGGAGGTGTTGGTGGTTGTTGATTCAGAGGTGGTTCATTTAGAGGTGGTGGTTGAGCCTGGTTAGCTTCATTTAGAGGTGGTGGTTGAGCCTGGTTAGCTTGTTCAGCAGCAAATTGTTTCCCCCTCCACTCAGACACTAGATCATTCATGAAAGTAGAATCCTTAGCAGTGTTAACCAAAATCTCATACAAGTTAGCATCAGGAAATGTTCTAAACATCCTACTCATACCACCATCATCATCAATAGGCCAATGCTTGCCTCTATATGCATAACCAAAGATAGGGTTCAATATAATTGTTCCCTTTTTCTGTAACCTATCTTCAAATTCAATCATTAAATCCATGAGATTGAACAGATTAGGATCCACTTCAATATCAACATTATGGACCTTATATTTAAATCTTATCACAACCTTGTCACTCATTCTGCAAAATTAGGGCAAAATACCACAATTCAATCCCATCATCAATGAATGAAAATCATTTAAACATGGCATGCAACATTACATAACACATAATTTGACCTAGGGTTACCTATCACTAACAAACTTAGAAATATCAACTCAAACACACCCAAATCGAATTATTTGTGCAACAAACACAAAATTAAGCAAAAAATCATAATCAGAGGCATATCATGCATAATTCAAACCATAATCTAGTAACAATTGTACATGGAAATCAAATTTCAATCATTTACACAAATATTCATCTAATACCAAAAATCAAACTATTTTATGCGCAAATCACAATATTGAACGCTCTGATCAACACTAACCTTTAACGATCAACAATGTAGTGCAGAATTTTCAGGAATTTTGCTCCAAACGCGCTTGAATTAGGGTTCCTCACAACAGAAGAAACAAGGGAGAGAGTGAAAAGGATGAAGAAGATGAACGATCTTCTGTTTAGGGTGTTTTTAATTTAGGTAGTTAGAGTTTGGAGGGAGAGAGTTAATGTTTGTGGGGTAGGGGGGAAATTTAGTCATTTCATTGTAATTAAACTAACCTAGGATTAATGTCTGTTTAACGGATTGGTACCGGTAGATGAGTGTGTGAAACATTGGGTGTACCGCTGATAAACAATAGTTAAGTAGGTGTACCATTGATAAACGCTCGAACCTTGGGTGTACCATTGATAATTTCCCAAAAGGAAAAAAGGAAACCAATCAAAAAGGAAAACAATCAAGTATATAAAAGGAAAACAATCAAGTGTATAAGTAGTATTATTGCACCAAAAAAGAAAACAATCATGGAAAACAATAAGTAGTATTATTGCTACTTTGTTTCATATTGCTTGCTACTTTTTTTACTATTTGGCATATATAAAATATTCAAAACTTGCAAATAATATGAAATGGATTTAGTATTAGAGATTTTATCAAAATTTCTGACTAATGTGAAAAGGTAATTTATTTTATTTTTAATTAATCAATTGCCACACAAGTATTATCAACAAATATGGATGCATTTTGAATTACATATAAATTAGTGCTATAATAGCAATATAATTTAATCATAATTTACAATTTTTTTATCTGAAGCTAACAAGTAAGATAAAGAATGATTAAAATAATTAGTAAATTATATTAATTATTTTTTCTTTTTAACGAGATTTATGAAAAACAAATTAGAAAAATAGATATAAATATTAAGAGATCACAAAAAAAAAATACAAATGCTATATATATAATAAAAATAATAATAATAATAATAATAATAATAATAATAAATAAAAAAGTAGTGTTTTGCATCGCACAAACATAAATCTAATTTTTTAATATAAATAACTACATTTTAAATTTATCATTTATCAACATATGTACCGATAAGCAAATTCCTTCCATAGTAAATGTAGACATCTACTTTTGGTCCCCTGTCCCGACCGAAAGTGTTATAACGATAAATAAAACCATCTTTGTGTTGGACCAACGTGAAGAATACTTATGGTTTGCTGATTAAGGCTTAAGTACATAAAACAACTAGCTTGACCCAATACTAAATAAACCAAAGCTAACTAAAACTAACCCCAATCAGTAATTAGGTCTAATCCCGAGATTAAACCTAATTTTAACGGATTTAGAGGTGCCTAGGTTAAAATCAGAGGCTCCGTAAGAAAAACCGCGCACAACTCAAGGAGTCGCGATGGCCTGGCGCACGCAACCCACAAGGTTGCGCGTGACGTCCAGCGCAACCTCTAGTGGTGCGCTCGCGGAAGATTTAGAACTTTATAGAAATACTGAATTGAATCTTAATTACAATGAAGCCACGCGCAAGACAACTAGTTGCGCTGCCCTCAACAGCGCAACTCAACCACTTGCGCGCAGCAGCCGCACGCGACCTTTCGAGATGCGCGCGCCACCTACTGCGGCATAATTTGAAAAATCCTAAATTCACCCATTCCCTATAAATAGAAGTGCAATACGAAGCTTTAAACACACAGAAATTAACCCGAAAGTCAACGGAAACCTTGTGATCTTATGCATTAATCATTCCCCTTGTCCTAAACACTCACCCCTTTTAATCATTTGTTCTTACGGTGGAGGTTCCCGAACAAGAAGGAGTCCATAAGTGTTCTAAACGAAGATCTAGCAAGGAAAAGTGGTATATTCCCGAGCACTTAGATAAACCACCTTTCCTTTTCTTGTTTAAACAACTTCTAGTGTTGTTTGGTCACTCTAAACAAACTTTAATTAATTAATTCACATAGTATTCTTTCGTTAATCAAGACTAGAATTTGAATAATTAATTGATTGCTTTATCACTTAAGCCAAGGCGGATCTTGTTTACTTTTTGTTCTTTCACAAATTTGAATGAGTAAGAATAACAACTTTTGCGATATAATTCCTACGTAATTAATGTGTGTAAATAAAATCAATTAACTTAGTTTTAGGTATCATGTTGCATATATTGTTTGGTAATGAAATTGTGAAAAAGGAAGAGCTAGTAGAGGCCGCACTTGGCCTAGAATAGTGATTCCTCCTTAAAAGGAGCGTTATTTTAGTACCCTCGCTCCCATACTCATTTCTGGTATAAGTAGACCAATTTGAGCATGGGTAAACTTATGATTCATGCTAAATATCCCTTGAACCCCTACTTGGGAAAAAGGCATGAGCGAGGTTTATGAGTTTTCCTAAAACTCATTGGCAACTCCTTACTAGTTTCTTACAAAAAAGCATAATGATAGGATCAACTCTAATTCAAGGTCCCCCAAACAGTCAAGAATTCAAATCCTAACATGCCTTAAAGCGTTGTAAAGTCTTAGGCTTTTAAAGGGACATGGGCATAGAGGAGAAGGATCCCCAACGATGGGCGCACCCTCCACAGTAGTGAGTTGATTGTGATACCTTGAATTCAGGTATTCAAGTTGGATTCAGGCTAGATTAAATTAGGTTTCGAGTCATGTCGAATAAATCTTGCATCCAGATGATGAGGTTCATGTTTGAATTTAGTCAATTCAGTTAAGGTTATGTTAGGTTGCTTTAAACCTGGCAAATGGGTTGTTCGGGTCGGGTCAACAAATATTCGGGTCGGGACGGGTCATTTTGGGTTTAGGGTCGTGTTCGGGTCAACACTTCGAGTCGCCTTTGGGTCGGGTCAAGTTTGGGTTGGGTCAATTCGAGTCGTGTCAATTCGGGGCGGGTCAATTTTCGGGTCCATATATCAGGTCAAGACCGGGTCAAGTCAAAATCAGGTCAGGACAGTTCTGGTCGATACTTTGAGTCAAGCTTTATTAGAAGATTTATTATTTTATATACGACATAATTATTAATGCTTTTATAGAAAATGTAGTTGTTAGTGTTAATATCATTGTTTTGTTATTGTTATCATCTTCATTACAAGATTATTACAACATCGAGAAAAGTAATATTCAAAATATGTAAATTACTTACACTTTATACATTACAAATAAATTTAAAAAAAAAAAAAAAAGAAAAATCGAGTCAGTTTAATTGCGATTATTTTCTATTTGGGTCTGCTCGGGTCAAGTATTTGGCTTAAATTGTAACTGGTCATTTCAGGTATAAAGTAATTTTAGTTCGGGTCACTTTAGATTTCGGGTCTGTTTGGGTCAATTTATTCAAGTTAAATTCAAGTCGGGTCACTTCGGGTATCAGGTCAATTTTGAGTCGGTAATTTCGGGTCGGGTCAGTTCGGATTTTGGGTCAAGGTCATGTCAATTCCAGTTCGGATCGGGTATGGGTCAAGTCGGGTTGATTTCGGGTTTCAGGTCACTGTTTACGGGTCGATTTCGGGTCATGGGTCTAATCATTCGAGTCGGGTTGTCAGGTCTGTGTCAGAATTGCCAGGTCTAAGTTGCTTACCAATTAAATAAATTGTAGTTCGAGTTCAATTTGAACCAAATACATGTTTAGTTCATTTTCTTGTATACATGTTAATTCGAATACAAGTTAGGTTTGGGTCGGATGATTATTGAGTTGGATAATCTTTAGAATAGGGATCTGAACCTGTATAATTGCATAGGTATATTGTATATCATATGTTATGAATAATGTATCAATATATTGTTAAGCCAAAATTAAGACCCTTATCATTGTAATCACATTAATTTTAATTGAACTTAGTTTGGGTTCGATAAAAAATACAAGTCGAGTTGACATGCCCCCCTCTCCAACCCAAATTCTTCCATAAGAAAATTATCAATGGTTGTTAACATTCTCTAAGTTCCGGAATTGAACAAAAAACCTCAACGACATCGGCAACCCCTCAATACAAAATTTGTTGCAGTGTATGAGGTTAGACACATTCCGTTGTATGTTCTCTAATAGCTGCTTCTATTTCTGCAAAAATGCAATCATGCTTGTAATGAAACAATGGCAGGTATGAATATAATTAAAGCTTATGAATGTAGATGAGATCATACATTTACAGGTTGTACAATCAAACAGGGAATCCCAGGACGCTCTTGACTCGGAATACATGGTAGTCAAACGTTTGAATTTGGGGGTGGATCATCTTTCCAACCTTTGCTAAGTAAATCAATGTTGATTGAAGCAAGCTGAGAGAGATTCTGGAGAAAACAAAAAAGTGAAACACAGGAGAATGAGAATGAAGTAATGAACCATGGTAATTTCCTCCTTGAAAACATATACTTCTACAAATAACAAATTGCAACATATACTTCTACAAAACTTGCAGGAAAGAAAATTTTTGGTTAAATGGGAGACCGGAGACCATAACATTTAAGTTTAATCAATAAGTTATTGTGAGCTACTCATGCTAGAGTTGATTCAAAAGAAATTGAACTTACATCCAATCAAAACTTAAGAGATTCCCTGACTTGTGCAATTTCACACATGATAAATCTCCCATAAACATTGAATATAGCCTGTCTTAATCATATATCCTACTTTAACCGTGTATTTCATTATTCCAAAGTTAGTGACAGCAATATAAAACAAGCATCCTAGATCAGGCAGGTTTTAACCATCCTTGGCATTACAACAAACCCAAGAACACCTGAATAAACCCGTACAGTGATAGAGGGTGGATAAGCACTTTACGTCTTTGGATTATAGGTCGTTGATTTGGTCCATGTAGCTATTCCCCCCCCCCTCCCCCCCCACCCAACCCATGCCCCATTTTCTCCCAAACATAGTTCTCATCTTTTTAGATGAAACATCTAGCAATGGCATGTCAGTTTATACAAAAGAGAGAATTTTATTACTTTGTTGCCCATGTGATTGAGGAAAAAAAAAGAGAGAGAGAGAGACTACTCTTAATGCGAGTTAACCCCCAAAACTGCATCACCCTATTCCCCTTCCACCAACACCTTACTCCCAACAATTATCATTGCCACGACCATTCACCCCACCAGCCTCAGCCACACCACCCAGTGCCATTGGCCTGCACCAACCCACAAAAAAACCCACCATTGCATTCAACCTTCCATCAATCTCAATCACTCATAACCATCATCACAATGCCACCACCATTCAAAAATAAGATTCTACGCAAGATGGGTGAAGCCTAGAACTATTTAGATCAATTCACCTCTAAAAGTTAATACTCGATGTTAGTCCAATCATATACGCATCATAAAAAGTATCTTTCAAAATAAAATTAGCAAGCAGCCACTGATTATGATAACTTAGTGATCAAATATCGCAAAAAAATCACCCAAAACTTCAAATTTGATCATCTTTTTTTTTTTTCTTTGTTAAAGGTTCATTAATCATTTACAGTATATTTTATAAGAATTTTTGGTTGAACCAAGTAACATATAGAGAATGCAATCCAAGAAGATTAAAAGCCACATGATGTCAAATAATCAAGTATCAAGAATATACACTTCCTCAATTTTCCTAGGTTCTACTCACTTTCTGTTTTCATCTGTTTTCCTAATTTCCACTGACTTTACTTTATTCCTTTCATGGCAGGCAATCTTTTATTCAATTCAATTTTTTCCCAATTTTAGAGAGAGAGAGAGAGAGATACTATATACTAATGCAATTTTTAGACACGGTAAGAAATAAGCCCTAGCAATTTTGGGTGCAATGCCTGTTCAAAAGGTTTATATTTTTCCTCCTGTGTTTCAATCATCAATAAAAATACAGATTTTTCATGAAATACCACTGAGTTTTTCGGAAATTCACCATATACCACACAATTTTTTAATACACCAAATACCACTGAGTTTTTGGTAAATGTCACAACATACCATTTCCGTTAACGGTGTTAGTCATTAACGTTAATTATGCCACGTGGCAACTTGTAATTGGTGATTATTAATGTTATTTATTTAATTAACTAACTTTAGAAAAAATTCAAGTAAAATTAATAGAAAAAAAGGGGGAAAAAAAACCAAGCCAACACCAGCCCACAACCATTGGTGGTGGCACTCCTCTCCCTGGCCCTCTTTGAACCACCCCCTCCCTAACCCCAGCTCCTGAAACCTCCCCTAAAACCGCTCCACCTCCACAAAACCGGCTCTCTCCACCCCCGAAACCACCTGTAACACTAATCTCCCTCGCCTCCCTCCACCCCCGAAACCACCTGTAACATTTTAGAGAGGATTTTAGGGGTTTCGGCAGCCGAAAATAGGAAGGGGAAGGGTTTCGTGGGATGGTGGGTTGGCCGGAAATAGTCGAAAAGGGATGGGGAAGAGGGTTTTGGGTGAAGTGGCTGGAATCGAAAAGGGGAGGGCAAGGGGGTTTTGGGTGGGTGGCCGGAATCGAAAAGGGGAGGGGAAGGGGGTTTTGGGTGGGTGGCCGGAATCGAAAAGGGGAGGGGAAGGGGGTTTTAGGTGGGGTGGCCGGAATTCGTAAGGGATGGGGAAGGGGGTTTTGGGTGGGGTGGCCAGAATCGAAAAGGGGAGGGAAGGGGTGGAAGGCCAACGGCCTCCGGCGCGCCTGTTGTTTCTGGCCTCGGTGGCAAGGGGTTTGGCGGTGAGGTGGCCGGAATGGGCTGGCTGGTGGTGGTGGTGGGCTGGTGGCAAGCTGGCAGCAGGTTTTGTTTTTTTTTTTCTTTTTATAATAATTTTTGTTACTTTTTATTATTTTTTGTTATTTTTTGGTTTTTATTTTTTTTATTTGATAACTAATTAAATAATAGAAGGGAACCAATCACAAACTGCCACGTGGCATTATTAGCCTTAATGACTAACGGTGTTAACGTCTGTTAGTCATTAATGGTATGTTGTGACATTTACCAAAAACTCAGTGGTATTTGGTGTATTAAAAAATTTTGTGTGGTATATGGTGAATTTTCGAAAAACTCAGTGGTATTTCATGAAAAATCCGATAAAAATATATATATAAATTCACAGATATGCTGGAGCCAAGAACACACCTTGAAGGAGAAATTACTAAAGGAGTAATTAATAGCTGAGCCAGATTCAAACTCGGTCAATCCACTGCATTCATCTCCCTGATGACAATATTACCAATATCAATACATTAGTAGTGAAGGATAATGATGACAACGTAACAAGCTCCAGTTCAACAGACATTACCAATTCATCTTGTTTGTCACTCAGATAGCCACTGCTCCCACTAGCAGAACCATCATCACTGCTGTCTTCAAATTCACTAGCTGCATTAACATGGTCATCTGAATGATTCCAAGAATAACGACTTGTGAAGTAACTCGTATCATCTGCACTCTCTGAAGCAGGAACAAATGCTGCCTGAGGTATTTAAAACATCAGATATACACATTTAATAAGTAACAATAGTCACAGGCGTTTAAGATCAATTTAAATGTTGCACCTTCTGCCTAGCCAGCGTGTCCCAGTTAATATCTCTGAAGAAAGGATGTGCCTTCACCTAAATTGTAAATTTATGGGATTAGGGGATGATACATTCACAGGAAATTAAAAAGAAAGATATTTAAGAGCCTGGATGAAACACAGTATCACCTCTGATGCTCCTTTAGCTCCAAGTCTCTGATTAGGATCTTCAGTCAATAATCTGAATTATATATGACCACAAACACATTTGATTGTAAGAAAAAAGTACTAGTAGAAAAGATCAGAATTGATCAAAGCTTTTCCATTATAGCTTTTAAAGAACTCATGGCATGGTCTTATAACTTGATTATATCATCATACCAAACATGTTAACCGCTCTGGTGACTGGTCTTTATAAATTGTAAAGTTATAACAACACGGATAGTAATAAAGCAACTGCACCACAAATTTAAAAAGAATATGTATATTTGTTCTCAATTTTTATAACCCTAGGCCTACAGGCCATCAAAAAGCATGGTCACAGAAACTCTGATTCACTATAAATGTTAGCTAATTCAATTCCACACTCAAGTAGAAAGCTATAAACAGTATTCTATACAGACCATTACGATTAGATGAAACAACCTCCCCAAAAACCTATTAAGCAGCAAACTTTTGTTGGCATTAAACTCTTATGTCTTTTTTATGTGAGCCTTAGAGGTGCTGATTACACACATAATTACACAAATGCCCACCTTGAAATTGAAAATAGACAAAAATAAATCTCTAATAAAAAAAATATGAGGCAGAAAGGATCTCTGAACTGCCCCATTTATATGACACACACACACACATTCCCCCCCCCCCCCTTCTCTTATTTTTTAAAAACTTTTTACTTGGTACAACAACAAAAACAAAAGTCCCATTGATTTGGGGTTGGCTAACATGAATCGTCAAAATTGCCTCAAAATATTCTTAATTTCCCAACCCCTCAAGGATTCGCCAACAGATCATCAAAAGGCGATTTAAACAGTCTTGCCTTTCTCACATATAAACTCTGTAGCCTTTGCTAAATTTAGTGAGGATATGCTGGAATTTTTAACCATAATCAAATTGTTTTAAATACTAACTTTATTTAGAATATGAAATAATTATGACTCTGATGAGCTTGGCCTACAAATCTACTGTTAAGAATTATATTGCAAACATGGTAACAGGAAAATTTAACTACAAAAAAAACAAACCAAGAAACTTGCTTTAACAGATAAGGTATGCTTAATCCTGACAACATTATTTAAGATGATAGACAGACAGACCACCATCTGATCATAAATAGCCAAATAACTCACCGAATAACTTCTTGTTACTTACTTGTCTATAAGATCTGCTGCTTCAGAGCTCATTTCATCTGGAACACGAGGCCATGGAATATTGCGATTGAGAATATTGTCAAAAATTATCTACAAAAGAAATGAATTTGTTAAAATGAGGCACTAACAATGAAACTGCGGAAAACTTGAATTCTTCAAAACCAAGGACTTAACATGTGTTCATGTCCATGTAGTGACGAGCAATCGCATGCACAAAACTGCATGAAATGACCAAGATCTAGAAGAGACTAACACTGAAAAAATAAAATAATTTTTCCATCCCTTTAAATGGTTATTCTACAAATTTGAATGCTTAGTTTTAAAAGACACAAGGCAAACCAAGGCGCTAAAGTCCTTTTTTTTTTCCCACTCATGTTCTGCATTCTCACTGACTACTTCCCATAATGATTTGTGAATGAGAACACCACCATGGGATTCCTTTGACAAAGGTGAACAAAAGCCCTAAACACTTGTTTCTCATATTAATATGCCTATTTGTAGATCTATGGCTTCAATAAACAAAGATTTGATGTAATTGTGTCCGACAGTAAATTACCATATCTTACCGGGATTTTGTGCCTATAAGAGTCATGTTGACAGTTAGGTAATAAAGGAGATCCCGCATAATTCTTTACCAACAAACCAACTTCTTGGTATCCCAAGACTAGAAGGGGTTGGACACTGACACAACTTACATTGAAAATAAGGTGTGTGCACAAATAGACCAGTCTAGGAATTCAAGTTTGGTACTCAATGCCCCAAAACATGTTAAAAACAGATTTGGGGCTTCCAGTCTGGCACAGGTAAAAACCAAAATGTTCTGGTCTGGACCCATGGAATATAACGTTTTTTTTTTTTTTTTTTTCCGGGGGGGGGGGGGGGGGGGGGGGGGGGGGGGGGACAGAGAGAGAGAGAAGCCTATTTAAGACAATTATTCAATTAATGCTCCTCTATTTTCCCTCTTTCCAACATTTTCACACTCAATACTCCTTCATTCTCTCTCCTTTTTATATAATTTGAAGTATTGCTTTACTTGCATGTACAACTCTTTCTTTCTCTTTCTCTCTCAGTCTCTCCTCTTATACTCCATTAAAAATCATCATATCTAAGTTCTTGAGTTCTTCAATGGAGCTAAATCATTTACATGAATCTTCCAGGAGATTTGAAAAGGAAAAATCGTGACTAAAGCAATCTAGATTGGCAAAAAGACTTTACAATTGCAACTTAGAGTTGGGTAATTTTGAAATTTGCTTCTTAAACCTTCACATTTCAGTTCTTTCTACCAAATCGCTAGAATTCTAGAAGCTAATTTTTTTTAATTCCAAATTCAATTATTTTAGTGAATTATGTTTATGTTATTGTAGCATACTTGTATAATAAATTAAGGAAGGTATAACTTAGGTATTTATGCAAGTTATATGATGTATTTAAGTATATTTGTGATCCATTTATAAAGCGTTTTATGATTCCTTGATTAAACTTTACAATTGAAGACCTTTTTTCATACGAACAAGATCGATTAAGATCTAGGCCCCATTTTGATTATTCCTTTTTTTTTCCATTTCCTTTGGTTCCTTTTTGTAAAGGGGTGGAAAACAATTTTCCCAATGGTGGAAAATTACATCCTTAATGATGGAGAACATTTTCCTTTTACAAAGGGAAGCCACATTTTCCTCCCTTTACCTTGCTTCCTTTTACTTTCATCTCATCCACCCTCACATTCCCACTCCTATTTTTTATTCTTCTTTAACTTTCTTTGTATGCAACCAAACAAAGGAAAACTAATTTGCAATTGTAATTTTCCTTTAAAATATGTTTTCCACAAAAACTAATTTTCACTGAAAATGTTTTACATCAAACCAAACGGGGCCCTAGAGTGTTGGGTTTAAAACTTTCGTTAATTTGGTATAGCATATAAGGATTATTTGAATTAAGATCTTTCCCCTTTTGTCATATTTTGAGATTTGCTATACTTAACTATATCTAATTGCAGCATAATCTTGATTACAACAATTAAATAAATAAATAAAAATTGAGGTCTATTCCCGGTTTGAATCCGGACCGGACATGAAATTGAGGTCCAATCCAGTCTAGACCGACTATTTACTGGTCAGTCCCGGTCTTCAGAATCTTATGATTCAGGTTCCGGGGAATCAGGTAAACTCCGGTTAAAGACCAGTGCACAGTCCCAATAGACTTATAAGACTGGAAGTCAACAGCTAATGATGATGATGAAAGTGGTTGAAAAAGTGTTTTATTAATAGGGATAATTTTATTTTTCTCTAATGTGTTGTTAATAACATGTGCGTCTTTTTTATCTCAAACAAATGAAGGAAAAAACAATGACATTGACACTGCATGGAGCAAGCAATTCTACATATAATGATTATATGTAGGTCAAAAAAATAACCCCCACATCACCAAGTGGCTAGTATTCTGTAGTTCTTACACAAATTTTCTCCCACTTGACCAGAACGAGCACACCATCTCAAGAATGGAAATTCCATTCCGTAGTTTCGCACCCATACTAAAATGATGCAGCTCCGGTTAGTTGGGTATGGACATATTAGGTCCAGCTTATAGATATTGTTAATATGACATCCCCCAAACCCAGTCTAAAAGTATTAAAATAAAGAGAAATAAAGTCTGCCTTAATTGAAGCTTTTCAAGTCTGAAAACATGCATGGACACTATTTCTAGTCCGCTTCAAAGGACTGTATCATTTATAAGGCAGATATTTAGCTTTCCATGATGCTAATTTTAAATTATACAAGCAATTTTCACAAAAAAAAAATATATATATATATAAAATGACAGCTATACAATGGTAAGCAAAGCAGTGGAAGTGGATGCATCAAAATCACATGCGAACAATATAATAGGAGCAAGTGGGTGTTGATTAGATTAGATAGATGCCTTTCTTTCTTGGTTCTTCGTTGTTGTTTTATAAATCTACAGTTTTTTTTAAGGCAATTTATAAATCTACAGTCAGCACGTCGCTACTAGCTGTATGTGTTATTATCTTTACACTCTTTATTTAATTTAATGTTGCCACTTAATTAGTATCTACTATCTTCACCAAGTCATTGGTGCAAGTTTGCAGTATTTTTGAAACCAAAACAAGATATTGGAATTTGGACACTAGAAAACCAGTTCTCTATAGTCAGATTTCCAGATTAGCATGACTATTTTAAGTGTAACTAATTTTAATTTCAATACACAATTCCTATCATATACCTCATCTGCTTTATGATATTGGTACCACTTTTTTTTCAGTGACCTAGAAAGTTGCACAAGATTCTTATTTCTTCTTTGTGAACCTCATTTTCATATTGATTTCTTTGTTATCGATAGAGACATAGGGAGAAGGAAAGGAAGACAAAGGTTAAGATTTCTGTTGTTTTATTCAATTCTTTTACTTTTTGACTTTGAGTTGTTCTTACATTATAAAAATTCTTCAAATTTTCTGATGTATTCCAGCATAAATAACTACACATAATATTAGACAATGAGCCCCATTTTATTTTGCAAAAATACTCAAATACCAGGTTACGCCTACGTCACATTCGACATATTGCAACAACATTGTAATCCATTAGCCAATTTTCCTAGGATTCAAGGTATTATCTGAAACTAGAAAACACTTCCGAAAAAAAGTATTATTTTAGCTATAAGATTCTTTTCCACGACTCTCAAAGGAGGACTAATCCTCCAGCCTTTACAATGACTAACTCTTACAGATAAATAAGCCCTATTGCAGGACCCAACTAGTCCTGCCCATATTGAAGGTGAAATACAAAGAGAATATAACCAAACAAAATTATAAAAAGTAAAAAATTACCTGGGGATGTTCAGCATTGAAGGGAGGGATTCCAACAATGAGTTCGAATAGAATAACTCCAACAGACCACCAATCAGCCGTAGCTCCTAAAAACAAAGACATAAATAATGAATAAAAACCCAGATACCACATTCATCAATAGTTTTTGAAAAAACAAACTAAAGTAAATGCGAAATAAAGATGTAGGAAAATCAAGTATTAACACAATGCTTCTCTCAATCTATTTTATGTATCCATCCAAAAAACTGAGTAAAAAGTTCAAATAAATAGATTATTTTACAAGAACTATTGCACAGTTCCACAGCTTTATACTAATAGCTGCAAATAATTTGCCCATGCATCTGGCTACACCCAATGGACTAGAAAGTTGATTTACCTTTAAACCATTTAGTTGAAAATTACATTTGATACCTCATATAAATCAGGCAGATTTCTATATTCAGGATATAAAGTAAAAGATAAGGAAGACAAACCATGTCCTGTTCCCAAAAGAATCTCAGGTGCCAAATAGTCAGGTGTTCCAACTGCAGAACGCTTCTTCCTTCTTTCTTGCTGCTTCTCTGAAGCAGACAATTGCGGTTGATCATCTTCAAAAATGGTTGTCCCACTAACCGCAGGGCCAGATAAATCATCAGTGCTGTTGATGAGACCAACTTTTGATAGACCAAAGTCTGTCAACTGATCAAATGTGGAAAAAATGCAGTAAGCTTCAACAACAACAACAAAGCCTCAGTCCCAAAATGATTTGGGGTCAGCTAACATGAATCGTCATAAGGAATCGTAAAAGGACATAACAAATCATCATTTAAAAGAGTTTGGAAAAGGTGAGTAAAGTGATTAAACGAAAGAGCATTGAATAATTATGGGAGTTTTAAAAGAGAACCAAGAATAAATTCAAGAAAGTTTTAAGAGTGGTTAAAACGTTGAAGTAGAAAACATAAAGGTTTGAGAAAACTTTAGCAAAGGAAAAAAGTTCATAAAACATCGGTGGGCTAAAAATAAAATTAAATACGAAAATTTATATAGAAAGTATATATTTAGAGAGTATATAAACAATGCAGCGAGCTTCAAGAGACGTTATTAGCTAATACTTCATATAGACATTATTAGTTTGTTCTAAATTTCTGATAGTTAAAAATCTGATTTGGCTTAATTATCCTAAACTAAATAGAGAAGTAATGAAACTAAGATTGGTGTGATCTCAGCCGAAGGGTATGTAGGCAGTCATTGTCAAAAAGATGCAATCGCATATAGATGATGCAATTTGTTCGTCTAAAATTTGAATATCTTTCAAATTCTGAGTGAGGTAGAGGTTCATGAACATATGAGGTTATTATTAATCAGTAATTCTCTAATTTAAGCACGATAAATAAATGTGAAGAAGAGCAGAATTTTTAGGAGAGGAGAAAGAAAGGATAAGTAGAATGGAAGGAAGGAGTTGTTACACCATGTTCCATTGTTTATTTAGAAAAGCAACTTTAGTCATTCTGTAATTAGTGCACTAAAGCATTATAAATTGATTAGATTTTAACGTACAAATAATCACGTCTATAAAAGATTAGAATATAACTTTAAAAGTTCTATTTTTCTTATGTTTTATTATATTCTTCACATTGTGGTTCTTTGCTTTTCACAAAACCAAAGGCAAATTATAAGAGTAATTAATATAATTAGAAGCCATATTTTCCATGCAAGCTCCATCAGGTTAGGTATGCTTCAAATACGTGCAAATTGAGTTTAAAATTTGAACGGACACAATAATCATTTTATACCTTGATATGACCATCATGGGCAATTAATAGATTGTCCGGCTTGAGATCACGATGAACCACATGAAGAGAGTGCAAATATTCTAAAGCAAGTACCTGAAAAGTATCCAAGGCTCTCAAGAGGCAATCTTGCATTTATAACGAAATTGAAGATAAATATAACCAGAAGATAAAAGATATAAGGGAAAAACTAACCACTTCGGCTATATAGACCCGAGCAACATCTTCTTCTAAGCAGCCTAAATTCCTTAACAGTGAATACAGATCTCCTCCATTCAAATACTCCATAACCAAATACAAGTTTTCACGACAAGTAAATGAATAAAAGAAACGAACCTGATAATAACAAATAGAGATTAAAGAGATTATCATTCACTGAAGGAAGGGAAGAGGAAAAACAAGATAGACCTGCTCACCACAAAAGGATTGCGGACAGAAATCAAAATATTGCGTTCTGCTAAAATACTCTCCACAGCATTCTTGCGAATCATATCTGCCTTAGCCAAAACCTACATACATAGCAAAATTTAATTAAATAATTGATGGCTTTCAAAATTTACATGTGACAATGTCAAAAACAACAGGATTGAAACATCAATAGAAGTATCACAAAATTCAAACAAATCAAAAACACCATACTATACATACATTCAAGATGACAAAGAAAAAGGGTACCTTTATAGCAAAAAGATCTCCTGTTGTTCGTTTCTTAGCCAAGAAAACCCGACCAAATGCCCCACGACTAATAGGTTTCATAATCTCAAAGTCATCAATGGACGTGCGGTCCTTGGCAGAATGAATAGGGCTGGTTCTTAAACTACGTACGACATCATCTTCCAAAGGTGCATCTTCATCAATTACAGTACTTACAAGATCAATTTTCTCATTATCAACCAGCTCCACTAGTTGTAGGTATTTTTCCCTGAAGAAATTAAGGCAGTGATAGAGCACTTGGGTGTAATTATAAATGAACAAAACAGCTGAGCATCAATAACATTTAAGCTACTTAAAGCATCAGCTCTGTATAATCAATAAGCATAGCTCCTAATACTCAAACATCAGCAGAACCATAGCTTCCTCAATTGAAAATTCGAGCCATACCCCCAGCACAAAAAAGCATCAGCTCCGTATAATCAATAAGCATAGCTCCTAATACTCAAACATCAGCAGAACCATAGCTTCCTCAATTGAAAATTCAAGCCATAACCCCAGCACAAACACACACACACGCACGCGCGTACGCGCACACACACACACACACACACACACACAAACAAACAAAAGAAAAGAAAAGACTGACCGAATCAACTTCTCAATTCGGGCTCCAAAAGTCTCTACAGTGAGTGCATCAAATTTCCGACGGCCAATGACAACGCTCAAATCCTCCAGACATGTGAGTAAATAGTTCATTGAACGATCATCTTCAGACAGCGCATTTGCTGAACATCGGGCAATGTCTGCCAGTTCAGACATCTGCATGATACAAAATTTTTTTTAGGGATAGAATAACCAAATGATTTATATCAGTATATAAACATTTTCATGGCATTGTAAAAATACTGAAAAAATTGGACATTGCTAATAACAAGCATTTGTGAGTGTAGTCAAGCTTGAGGGAACTTTTATTTTTCAATTTGTCCCCCCCCCCCTTTTTGTTTCCCAATAATTAAATAAGATTTGGCAAAAGTAATACTATCTCTATAAAAAATGAAGTTGCTTTCCTTAGGTAGTAAGAACAACTCTCTAGGGCCTTAACCCAACCAGATTTTGGGCCAAGACTACTAAAGATTGGAGAGATCAAGGAGATTAAAAAAAAATTTTAAAAAAAATAAAATAAATAAAAACCTTGGGAAACATTAAATTAAAGCATTTCAAAGCGAGACTGTTAGAGGCTATTGTAAAGTAAAATGGAAAGCCCCAAAGTAGAAAAGTATGAATTTTTACCAAGTATTATCAAGCAAATCGACAAGGAACATTATGAGGCAGAAAAGGTTCGGTACTTCGGTGCACTTTATAATATTAGCAGAAAAGACATAAGCCACAATATACATGACAATCTTTGATTGAGTTAAACTTAGACCTACCAACATTATTCCACAATTTAGTTTTACATCCACAATCACCATAGTATTCTTAAAATTAGAAGTTACTCTTAGCAAAAGTCAGATGAACTCACCTCCAAGACTTGCTCTATAAGCTAAGGAAATAATACGATGATTTTAGAATTCCCTGTTTAGTATCATTATTCAACATAGAAAGAACGGAGATTTGGATAACAGCAATTTTTATAGTCTATGAATCAATACTCTTTCACTCTCACATCTCAATCTCAAATTCTATCTACCAAATGGATAAGAGACTTTTACAGTTTTGCTATGGAGATTTCCAAAGAGAAAGAGAGAAGATAGGGAAACTGCATTGTGTATATGTTTTGGCATGAGGGATATGTATTATTGTTAATTATCAGAAAGATTTACATTAGATATTGTGTTACTTTGCTTTTATGTAAAAAGTTGTACATGTACTATTTCATTTCCTACAAAGTCTATACGGTTTTAATTCTCTAAACATTTTTTTATATATATATTGTTAAGAATTAGACTACGTTTAGTTCACCTTATTTTGCTTATTAGATATGAACTTATTTTTTGACAACACTTTGACCTTTTATGTACTTTAATCCATACGAAAAAAATATAATTCCTCCATTCTATAATTATTGCACCACTTTCCTTTCAAGGAAGATTCACAAGTATTGAACCATATCAATTTTAGGAAACAAAATATCTCTGTCACATGGATAATTTTGTATTTTACCCCTCTCTCTCTCTTCCTTTGTCACATTACCAAAAAAAGTGTGCCCATGTGCAATAAAAGAATGGCTTTAGTATATCAAGTGGGGTCTTGTTAGAATTGTAATAATGTGTATGTTGTTAATATATACTTTATACCATATTTCATTAAAGAATTTAAAGATATTTAGCAATTTTTAATCGCACATATAGCGATAAAGTATGATCAGAACTTAATTGTTCTCATATGAAATAAGTAAATTGTAGAGTTCACTATAACAATTGGAGTTCATCAAGGTTCTACATTTAGTCTTTATCTTTTTCCAATAGTCATGGAAGAATTGACGAGCTCGATTCAAGATGATATACCATGGTGCATGATGTTTGCTAACGATATTGTGTTGATTGATGAGACGATTAAAGGTGTGCAAAGTAAGTTGGAATTGTGGACACAGACTTTGGAGTCCCATGGCTTGAAGGTGAGCTGAAATAAGATGGAGTTTAGCGATGTAGGAACAATGAGACAGGGGTGGGTGATCACCTTGGATGGGAAGATTGTCTTTCGATATTTAGGTTTATTATTCAAAAGGATGGATGGAGATGTAGCTCATAGGATTAAAACAGGTTGGTTGAAGTGGAAGCGTGCAACGGATTTTTATGTGATCCTAGCGTGCCCCAGAAATCAAAGGGGAAATTCTATCAAACGGTAATAAGGCTTGCTTTGTTATATGGCACAGAATGTTGGCCGCTTAGTTTTAAAAAGCGCGCCTAGGCACACTTAAGGCGTGAGGCGACCTTAAAAACGCCTCCCAGCATTGCGAAGTTTAGGACTTAGCGCCTTTACCTAGAGGCCCGAGGTGCTTTGAAGGGCGAGGCACTTTGAGGCGCCGCTTTACTAATATAAAGCGCTAATGGACACGTGCTATTACGATAGGAATTGGGTTCAAGCTTTCCCCAGCCCCTTCTCATCCTCCATGGGGGGGACCTTGCCCGTGCCGTTCAGCTGCAGTTCAATGGAATGGTTGATCTGCAGATCAACATTAGAGCTGAAGGATACTTTCTTTTTGAACAACCAAAAAAGAAAGAAAAATCTATTCTATTAAAGGTAACCAGGTGGTGGACCAAAGTAGAGTTTGGCCCTCGCTAAGCTGCTATGGGGTAGGGGGGTTGTGTCTCGTGCAATTCTTATAAAGAGAAGCCTTTCCATCTTTCTCTTTTTTTCTTTCTTTTGCTTTTTCTAATTCTAAAAAAGAATCGAAAAATAGAGGATTTATTATAAATTCAATTTCCAAAGCCGTCGTTAGAGTCCGATCCAAGAGGTACTTTAATAAAGACTCCCCTGGGTAGTGACATTGATTCACAAGAAGCTTAGCAAACTCTTGAAATAGCAAAAACTAACTTGAGGAAAGCGGAAGGAAAGAGACAGGTATTTGAAGCAAATTTAGCTTTGAGACGAGCTAGGTCATGAGTTAGAGGCTAGCAATCCGATTTCTTCATAACAGTCGGTGCGTGCGTCCAAATAATCATAATCAGGAGAAGTTAAATATTTAAAAAATAATAAAACCAGGCTTTAATAAAAGAAAAAGAAGAGAGAGAAAACATATTATTCGAAAACTAAAACCCTAGCCACCGATTCTCGTTGGCTCTAAGCCAATTCTCGCCGGAAACCAGCCGAGCTTTGGAAACCAGGTATGCTTTCTTTTATTTAACATGTTTATCTTGTTACTGTTTTCTGTTTTCAGATTACGTCTTTTTTTTTTTTTTTTTTCATCTTCTGTTTTTTAATTGCTTTGGTTTTTTTTTTCTTTCTGTTTTCTAGTTTATCTAATTGAGCTCAAAAACTCTTTATGTCCAGCTTTGTTATTTCAGCTTGGATTCTTGGAACATGAATGAAGAGTCCCTTCCTTCCACTGGATCGAATCCGGTTAGAAAATATGGAAAACCAGAACCTAATAATAGTGTTATTTGGCATTGTAGTTTTTGTGGTAAAGTGACAAAGGGAGGGGGCACATCATTTGAAACAACACTTAGTTCGTGGCTTTAGAAATGTCACTAAATGCCCTAAATGTATCGAACATGTGAGGGAGGAAGTTAAGACTTGTATGCTAAACAAAGCTCGAGCAAAAGTCGATAGTCAAATGATGTCGAGCATGTCCCAACTTGAAATGAATGATGTTGATGAAGAAGAGGAAGAAGTTGTCACAAAACGTGCAAAATTGTTAAGAAACCTAGACACAAAGGTCCTTTGGATATGTTTATTACTTCGACTCCTAAAGAAGTAATGCAAGCTAGGAAGGAAAGGAAAGGAATTTTTTGGTGCTTGTGATAAGGAGTTAAGGGAGAAAACTTGTAGGACAATTGGTAAGTGGTTTTATGATGCAGGAATTCCATTCAATGCGGCTACCTATGATAGCTTTGGAGCAATGATTGAACCTATTGGTCAATATGGTCCCAGATTAAAACCACCGAGTATGTATGAGCTTTGAGTTCCTATCTTGAGCAAAGAAGTGAAAGATGTTGAGATGAAAATGGAGGAGAACAAGAAAGAGTGGGCAAGTAAAGGTTGTTCAATTTTATCCTATGGATGGCATGATTCGGTTGTCCAAAAGGATATTATAAACTTCCTTGTCAATTCTCCTAAGGGTTCCGTGTTCATAAGAACTGTGGGATGTTTTGGAAGCTGTGAAAGATGCGGAGTTTTGTATAAACTTCTAGATAAGATGGTAGATGAAATTAAAGAGGAAAATGTTGTTCAAGTGGTAACGGACAATGCATCCAATTATGTCAAAGCTGGTATGAATTAGTAAATAGTCTTGCCACTCTTGTGATATGTTCAATCAAATTTTGATAATTAGTTTGTTTTGTAAGTTTTTATTTAATACTTTTATTTTTTTATTTTTTTTTTTTTTTTTTTTTTTGTGAATTGTAAGAAAATTACTTGAAGCTAAGAGACCTCATCTTTATTGGACTCCTTGTGAGGCTCATTGTATTGATTTGATGTTAGAAGACATTGGAAAACAAACAAGAGTTTTAAATGCACTAAAGAAGTGCATGCTCATTGATGGCTATATTTAGTCATACCTCTCTTGTGAACTTGATGAGGAAGTTCACACAACAAAGAAATTTGCATAGGCCATCAATTACTAGGTTTGCAACATCTTTCATTACACTAGCTCAATTTCATAAGTAAAAAGGCAACTTGAGAAAGATGGTAACCTCTAAAGAATGGACTGCTTCCAAGTGGCTAAAGGGAAGTGGGAGGAAAGAGAATTGCAACCTATATCTTGCAAGCAAGCTTTTGGAAGAATGTGGTGTATGCTCTTAAGCTAACAAATCCCCTTGTTAAGGTGCTTAGACTTGTTGATGGAGAGAAAAAGCCTCCAATGGGATACATTTATGAAGCCATGGATAGAGCTAAAGAGTCTATAGCGAAGACTTTTAATTTAAGCAAAAAGGCTATAGTGACCTTAAGGCATTTGAGATCATGGATAAAAGGTGGGATAGTCGACTTCATCATCCTTTGCATGTGGCGGGTTTTTATCTAAATCCGGAACTTCATTATGATTATTCCGTATTGTGAGGAAGTTTTGAAGGTTTGTATGATAGTATTGAAAGGCTAGTTCCGGATGTGGAAGACAAAATACTTGCAGAGTTGGATGAATTTAAGAATGCTATAGGTCTCTTTGGTCGTACAATGGCAATTAGGCAAAGGAAGACCAAATCTCCGGCGGATTGGTGGTCGGCTTATGGTGCTACAACTCCTAATGTCCAAAAGTTTGCCATCAAAATTCTTAGCCTCACTTGTGCTACAGGTTGTGAAAGAAATTGGGGTGCTTTTCAACAGGTTAGTAGCTTCACTTTTATTGATTTACCTAGTATGTTTTTATTTTAATACATTATATAGCTTATATTTGTAACGAATCAGAGCAAGCCACCTGTGTCTTATACAAACAAAAGCCAGCAGAGAAAAGGACAGGGTCTGAGACCTCTGACCACTATCTCAAGCAAGGTGGTGAGGCACAACTCTCTATAATCGATCAAAGATCATACAGGGAAAGGTGGTGAAAATGACCACCACCGAAAGCTACACCATTTCCAAAGGTGAGAAAGAAGTCCACAACTCGCGACTCTGATGGCGTTGGTTGGCCTGGAAGAACAAGTTCTCTGCCCCAACAAGGAAACATGGAAAGCCGCACATGTCAAGGGTGAAGAACAAGAAAGGTAAAATGTATTCCAGGTATTTGGTTGTGCAGGTCCAAGAAGCGCAAAGGAACAAACACCGAGCATCAATAGCTAGTGCCTGCAATGGAATTTGTCAACCCCCAAATTTGTATTCCTTAGCAAGTTATGAAAGTTGTACCCCCCATCCCCCGATATAGTCCTTGTGTTAGTTTGGTTAAGAGAACTAGGCTCTCTCCTTGTTGTATTAGTTTTTGAGTCTGTTGGGAGCTAGTCTCCTTTTCTGACCATTGTAAAAAAAATTAAAAAAAAAAAAATCATCACAAGTGACTTGTTAGAGCCACAAAAGCGTTCTGATTTTCATACAAATAAATTTCTTCTTTTCTAGCCCTATTTATGGAGGGCCTCATTCTTCTAATCCTAAAGGAAAGCTTTTTTTTACAGATTCTCAGTTTTCAAGGTGGCAAGTGCCTTTCTTTTTCTTTGATCGGCATACTGTTTTCCTTTTCTTGGTGTTTACGCACCTGTGTTTCAAGTAATCAGTCATGTGCCAAATATCATAGAGCACAACAATACCAACCTACCTAAGGGCAAATTTGTGGTTTCTACCTAAGTAGTAATGTAACTACTCAGTACTCAGAAAGCTTAACAGTGGAGCATTACCTCAAATAAGAAGCAATGAGGTGCCAAAAAAAAGGCGTGTAAGAGTTAAATTGATTTCCAAATTTACTAAATAACTATAAACAGACAGCATGAATATGAGGTTTACAAAACTGAGTAAAATACCTGAGGATGATCTTCGTGTTCTGAATAACCACCTTTACTAGATAGAAGCAAATCTATTTGGCTGGTTCTTGGTGTCATTAAAGGAGACCTAGGAGTCATGCTACCAGCAGATGATGTTGTCATTCCTTGATCAGATTTTGGGCCAAAACGAGTCTTACAAGACATAGATGATAAGCCTTTCAAATCATCCATGAATACAGCATTATCAGTGTCAGGAAAAGAGTCCAGCATGTCCTCTGATCCCCTGCGAGACCAGTCACTAAGTTTTGGAGAAAAAACATCAGACTCTTCAGTAACACCCGAATTTGATACTTTTGCAGCATCAGGGCTCCCAATTGCAGGTAGAAAATCCTTTTGTGGAGGACATTCAATCATCTTTTCTAAAGTGTCAGCAATTCTTAAAAGGCGTTCATTGACACTTAAGCCCTTCTGATCACATCTATCAGCAACTGCACATACTTTTGAATGATCTTCCACATGTAAAGTTAGAACCTCTTCCTCACATATTCGGCATATTATGGAACTCTCATCTGACACACTTGGCTGGTCTCCCCAGTAACCCCAGGAATTTTTCTGCCGGTGTTTAGACGAAGCACAAGTTTGTGCAACTGAATCTTTGGAAGAAAGGGCCTCAGATCCCTTTATAGAAGACGGATCCGTATCTAATATTTCACTTTTGTTAGATATGTTTATATGCTCCAATTTACTATCACTCTGCTCGATTTCAAGCGGAACTTCTGTTTTTTTAACACCAGGCGAAGGGAGTTTTTTCCAGGAAGTAATCCGCTCCCTCCCAGAAGGAGATTCAGTTATCTTTGTCGCTTCAACAGGAGTGAATATATCTGAAGTACGCAAACTGTGACCATGTTGTTCTTGACTAAAGGATTTTTGTGCAGATGATCCCCTTGAAATCTTTCCAGAAACACCACTTTTTCTATCTTTTCCAAGAGGAAGCCTTTTTTCTGCAAACTGTAAAATTGTTGATTGGCGCAGCTGAAGGGCATGCCCATCCTCTGCTAATCCACTTTCCTTGTGAAATTGCAACAATCTGGTACATCGCGTTAGTATAAAAAGCATCCGCGTATGAAGCTGCTTCAGAGTACCTGGAGGCAACTCCTGACGCCTGTCATCCAATTCCTGAACTATGCTTTCACACTGGAGCCAGAACTCATTTGGTTGTGTCATAGCACAACTCCGAGCTAGGATCAATAAGTCCTCAATAGTTTCCTGCCACCCAGGTTGATTTTCTGTGTTCTTTTCTAAGAGACCGACTAGATCGGCTGCAAAAACAGCTAAGTCAGAGTCTACTTCTTCCTTGGCTTTCTCAAACCTTCCTCGTATCATGATTAAAACTTCCTACATGAAATACCAATTCTAAAAGTAAATAAGTACTGAAAAATTATACCATCAGGAAATGAGTGAGACTACAGCACATAATAGTTACCTCCAGATTATTTAAACCACGAGGCTTCCAAAATGGAAAAGGCCGTACTCCCTTAGAATTCAACTCATGGGAAAAGCTTTTTATATCTGCTGGATTTCTTTTCCTTGGCCCACTTGTAACACGAAGAATGGCTTGAAAACGAGGAGATTCAGATTCCTTTGGAGTTTCACAATCAAAAGCCATCTGAAGAATAAAATATTATAATTCAATTAGATATAACGAAAAAAAGAACAATGTAGCACTTCTAATATGCAGAGTGATGAGAGGGAACTAACAACCTGTCCTTCAGGAGTACATATATCTGGACTTTGTATGCTTCCTGACTGCTCCCAGGATGAATTTAAATTTCCTGCATAGAAGGTACAGACTTAGTAGGATAGGTGGAAATAATCACATGTCACTCCGTCAACTAGGAAGTAATGATGACATGCAACATGGGCTACATGGCACATAAAGGTATAGAGCATAGGAAGAAATTCATTTCATATCCTATAGAATTCTCGAAATGTTATAAATATTCAGGTCTATGTCATTCATTATGCCGCCATGTTTGTCAAGACATTGGTGGACTACTCATATCTACTCCCATTCCCATGTCCCTACCCCCCCCCCCTCCCCCCTTAAAAAATAGAATAGAGAGATAGAGGTACGTTTAAATGCACAATGATAATAGAGCTTGCCTGCAAGCAAAGCATCAAGTTGTGCATTCGTTGAGGTTGTTGTATAGGTGAAATCAAGTGTTAGGTTAAGACCATAGATCGAAATTGGGGTTTTGGTTGTAATAGTTGTAGTAGTTGTGTTGCCACAGTAGCAGGAATGATGTAGACGTCAGGAAACCAATTGTAGCTGAACTAACACAATTTTGGGTATTTTTCTCTTTTTTTAAATGAAAATTGTTTCGAAAAATATTTTGGTAAACTTTTTTTTCCATAGTAAAATAATTCTTCTATTTATTTGAAAACAGCATAAAACAAAAACTTATTTTCCTTTTAATGAAAAGAAAAAAGGTCCAAATCATGGTGACAACTAAAGTACAAAAAACAAAGATCTGTTCTTTTCAGCAGATTTCGTCTAAACTTATCATACATATCTTTATTTATTACACTTATATTTGATCTTATCAATACTCATTTTTTGTTAAATAAGTCATAACAGAGTAAGACCTAAATCCTCCTTATAGATAGGTTGAAATCATGAAAGTCTTCATCTCAGCCTTTAAACTAGTACCAAAACAAGCAAAGGCTGCACTAGGAATCTAATTTTGATTTTTCTAAGCAATAATGAATGACACAAACTCCTTGCCTAATTCTTTAAGTTCAGCTCTTCTCTCTCCCCTTCCTCCACTCCCCCCCCCCCTTTCTCTCCCCCTATATCAGAATAGCTAACTTGAGCAAATATAAGAAAAAAATAAGCCTAAATAATTTAACATAATTTTTGGAACAACTCTGCCTTATGTGATGCACGTATCTTCACCTTGCACCTTGGCATTGGACTTCAGCACAAAAAGATAGACCCTGAGTCCCTCACTCAGCACCATGAATAACCATGTTCCTAGTCTTTATAAATCAACATTGGAGCTGTTTGGCAGTCTATCAAAAGGAAAAAAGAATCAAGAAAGATAAGCAAGGGGAAAATTCAAGAAAGGGAACTTGATATTTTTTTTGTTTGGTCAAAGCAAGGTATGCAATATTACCTTTTTTTTTTTTTTTTGAAGGAAAGGTATGCAATATTACCTTGTCATATGTTTGGTTGTAAATATGTAAAAAATTTGTGGAAAACTACAATCAACCCAAAAAAAATAAAATACATAAATAAATACACTTCTTAAAACATATTATATAGCAAAGTAAATGGTTGTTTGTTATATGGTACCTGGTCTCTTAAGCAAAAACTGCCAAGTCAACACCAGATTTTAAGTTAAAGGCTGTAATCCGACAAAAGGTATAATTTTACAAAAATATTTATACAAGAAAGTTTTTTTATGAAAGTTTTTGTAAGGTAGTTCCTAAAGATAAAAACACAATTTATTTTCTTTCTGTTTACTGGGATATTGCATACGAGTCACAAAACTCACAATCATAACAAAGCACATGCCCATCACTATTTCAACCCTATCAAAAAATCATCTCCTCATCTCACCATTATCAACCACAATGCAACCCCACTTCCACATGCATGTTGTCATCACTCCCCTTATTACAACCATCGCAACCTCCTCCGCTAACAAATAAGTTGTAGGTGGTCACATTTAATCATCAAACTCCACATACAGAGTACCATTGTTAAACTGGACAATCTAAAGCTGTAACTTTATGGTGTTGAGTTGATTTTTGAATACTTTTATTCCTTTTCCTCTTCTTTGAAAAATTTCTGAAATGGGTGTTTAAGAGGAAAAGTAGGTTTGACAAGAATACTGTCGTGGTACAAATCAGGGTCGTTATCCATTGCCTATTAAACCTGTATACCCAAATACTTCAAATCACCACATAAATAGGAAGCGTATGGAATTTTCCTTTTAAATCTCTCCTAGATGCCAATACAGTAAAATAATAAATTGAAAAGTTTTGTGACACAAATCAGAAGTATTAGAACCACATTGTTACATCAGCAGACACATTTGAAAATTGTCCAGGAGTTTTAAACATTGAAAAAGAATGTGCTTTCCCATCAACCAAAATTCAAAGAAAACACTATATAACTCTCTAGTATGCGCACGCGGGCGCGCACACACACTCGCTCACATTAGCTTTTAGCCTCACACCTCTTTCATTGTGGAAAGGTGAGGAAAGGGGAAGTCGGGCAGCAGTAAAGTAAAAGGAGTAGCTTGCACTTCTTTCCGACGCTTCAACATTTGAAGGTTTTAAATTATCAGAGGGAGAATATACAGATGCAATTCCATTTCCACCTCTTCTCATTTTGATATCCAAACCAGGAAAAAAAAAACTCATCACGCCGAATTCCATTCCCTCCAATCTCATTCAAAGACATCCCAAGACTGCGTATACAGAACCTAATAATCAACGGCTCACCATAATAAAAACCATCATCATCATCAACCTTAACAACCACCATCACTAACACCATAAAATCATCTAGCACAAAGCAACTTAAAATTAGAAACAAAGTAGCCCACTTCCTATTATTTCTTGGAAAATCATTCATGTCCAAAGACAGACAATACGACACAGCTAAAAAAACCAACCAGGCAGGATTGTACTACATGCAACTATCCATAACTACAAGAATTACAAAAATGTACATAGTTACATAACTACAGGGTAAACAATTCTCTCCTCGGTTGATCAAGTAATCACATAGTTACATAATTATAAGTAAGTAAGAAACCCTTACCTACTCCTCCAGCCGACAGTCTAGACCGCGGCAACTGGCCTGCATTCAACAAACTCGGGCTCGGGGCAGTCCCACCGCTCTCGGGCGACATGCTATCGGAATTACTTCCACTCTCAACAACATTATCCAACCAAACCATCTCCTTTTTCCCACTACCCTTACTACTGGAGCCACTCCCATCACTAGCAATCACCGCACCAGGCTTAGAAAGATTACTAGACCCAAGCACAACACCGCTCTTTTCGGGTCGAAACCCGAAAAAGCTCTCCTGAGGCAACGGCCCTGATCTCGTCTTAATCTTGTTCAAACCCAAAGACGAAGCAAGAATCGGCGACACCGAAGCCGACGGTGACCCTGAATTGGGCTTAATCCCAGAATCAATTCGAGCTTCCTTACCTTTACCATCCTTCTTCTTGGTAACAACTGAATGTTTCGAATTACTACTACTATTATTAGTAGCTGAAACAGTAGAATTACTATTACCAGTATTATTAATTAAATCTTTTTCAGAAGATTTACCCTTCTTCTTCTCGGATCTACTGGGTGAATTGAAACGACGAGGACTGTTGGATCCATCAGAGTCTGATGATTTCTTCGAGGAGAAAAATCTGCCTTTAAATACCATTTTCTTTGGTTTTTTTTTTTTTGGGGGGGGGGGGGGGGGAAAGTCGAAAAAAGGGGTAATCGGAAGATAGTACTACATCATAGCCGGAAAAATGGGGAGTTTTGGAGTGAAAATAGGAGGAGAATAGAAATGGTGGGTGGAGTAGGTCGTCTTCAAAGTTTCAAAGATTGGACCAGGATTGGTATAGAGTATAGAATAGATAGCAGATAGAAAAACGAGAGAGAGAGAAGACGGTGATGCGCGTTTACAGCATATCTGCTGTGATTTCAGATTATTGCGTCGGTCTTACTATTTTACTACTGTAGTATTTTCCTGCTTTCTTTGCATTCACGAGCCAACATCTTCTTAATTTTTGCACAACTTGCATATTTAAATGGCAACGAATCAAATTCGGGTTGGATGGAGCTTCACCCGCATCCACCCGCTCATCCCATCCGCTCCACCCGATTCACCCGCCACCCGCAAAACACATCATCCACATCCGATCCATCCATCATCCGCTGGTGAAACGGGTAGATCGAATGCTTAGCGGGTGATGATTAAAATTTCTTATGTTATTAGTACATCAAAATTATTGATGTTAAGTGATGATTATATAATTTCAACAAATAAATCAAATTTTCAAAGAATACAAGTACTTAATCAAGATTTACATTAATTCATCATGTACAAACAATACTAGTAACAGTAGTATCACTATGAATAAATTAGTGCCACTTCACTGTCAAAATCAGAAACAATCAATTACCTCAATTGGCAAAAAAAATCCCAAAAACAAGCAATAGATTGAGTTAAAAAGAATGTTCAGATTTATTTATTAGATACAAATACTACATGTATTCAAAATAATTCAGATTTGATAAATAAACTAGTAGTAATTATAAAAAAAAAAATCAGAAATTTGAACAAAGTTAGGTTTTATTAGATGATTACAGATAAACTGGCGAATAAATTAAAACCAGAAACTTCAATAAAACGAAATTAGAGGGGACCTGAGGTGAGGAGTACCGCCAGTGAGAGGAGTGCCGCCACCCAACGAGGATGTCGCAGATGAGGATTGCTTCACTGCTTCTGGTAGAGCGCTAAAGAGAGAGAGGGAATGAGGGAGGCGTTTCAGACTTTCAGTGAGAAAGTTGAGGATATCAAGGAGGCGTTCAATGTATTCAATGAATTTGGGTTAGGTTTTCAGAAAATAGGTGGGCTTTAAATTTTAGAAATACTGTAAATCTTTTTAGACATATGTATACTGTATATAAGTTTTTACAAAAAATGTTAAAAAAAAAAATTATATACATATCGGGTGAATGACGGATCGGGTGATAAACGGATGACGGATTAGGTGACGGGTGAAACGGAGCCCCACCCAAATCCGACCCGATCCGTCACTCGCCCTTCATCCATTTAACGCGGATTTTCATCCATTTATTTATATCAGGTGGATCGGGTTTTCGGATATCCATTTATAATTGTCATCCCTACTTGCATAACACGTCCATATTATTTAATACGGAATACCTTTAGGGGTCGTTTGGTTCGCACAGGAGAATCGGAATGGAATGCAGAAAGGGAATGCAGGAGAAAGGAAAGGAATAACCCTAATTTGGGCTGGTTGTTTGGTTGTGCCCCGAAAACGGAATGAATTAGTCATTGATTCCCTTTGTCACTGTTTGGTTCAAACTAGGGAATCAAACCATGAATTTTAAAATTTCTTTCTACGAATTCAGATCCAAAAATTCAACTAAAAATATGAATTCATATCCAAAAAATTCAACAAAAAATACGAATTCATGACGAAAAAACTCATACGGAATACAAAATTCAACAAAAAAAAATCCCAAATGGAAGTTCAAAGAGGAATACGAATTCAAATCCAGAAAAATCAACAAAAAATACAAATTCATCAACAAAATTCCCAAACGGAGTACGAATTGAGGAAGAAACCCAAATTAAAGATAAAAAAAAAAAAACAAAAACAAAAAAAAAAAAAACATATGACTAATAGTTGTTGATGCAGTTGGGAGGAGAGAAAGACGGGTCACCGGCGGAGTTGGTAACGATGCGAGATGTGATTTTCCGACGGATCTCGCCGGTAGATCTTGATGAGAAATTTGGGTTTTTAACACGAACACATCCACAGTAACACAAATTCGGGCTCCGTCGAGTTAATCTACAAATTCTGGATTCTTCTCTTCTCTTCTATCCATGTATTGTATAGATTTTCTGCAAATTATACAATGAAAAAATGTCACTGAAAATCAAAATCAAACATAATCCCAAAAATAAATTAGATTCAAGAGTATAATATGTTGAAACCTTACCTCAAGATCTAGGATTATAGATGAGAATCTAGAGATTAAATTACTCAAATTAAGGATGCGGTTAGTCTCGTACGAGTGTGTGGTGGCCAGAGGATCTTCGGCGGCGGCGGTGGGTAGGTCGAAGCTTCAGGTTTGAGAGAGAAGGCAGATGCGTGGGACTGTGGGAGGGAATAAGGATGAAAGGGAATGCAAAAGGTAGGGGGTGGGGAATGAATTTAGGAGAATTTTGGGTAAACCCAAAAATAAAAAGAGGGAATGGAAATAATAAAAAAGGAAAAACAAACAACAACAAAAGGAATCATTCCCATTCCTTTTGTTTATTACTGCGAACCAAACGGCCCCTTATTTCTTGTTACGTGCAACAAAATATGGATTAAATTAGACGCAATAGATAAATAATTAAGGGGAGGGATAGGCACCACTAGAAACCACCCAAACCCACCACACCCACCCTGCAGCCACCACAAAACGACCCGACCTCGCATCCACCAAACCTAAAACCAACCCCACAACCACCGGACCCATAACCCGCAACCTCGTTAACACCCTCCTAACCACCCATAACCATCCCTAAAATCTCACCCCAATTGTAACACCCCCAATTTACTAGCTAATAATAAATAATAAATAAAGGAAAAATAAACAACCTTTGAATAAAAACTGCGGAAGCATACACCTAAATCGGAGGTATTACCGCCACACTCAACAACTTGCCAAGTGCTAAGGCTTACAAAATCCCAATAATTACAACCAAATAAACTAGGTGAGCTATTTATACAACTTTACAAACTTGTTATAAAATACTAATCGAAACACTTGAGCTCCTTTGGCTACGATCACTTGATCAACCTGTTTAGACAAACTTGACTGCTTACCATTAAGGACAAATTCCAAAATAGATTGTCGCAGGGCCACCATAAGAACAAGACATGGGCGCAAACACAAGTAGCACAACAAAACAACACACACACGTCAACAAAAGGCTGAGTAATCACCACATATCATAATATAAAGAATAATAGAATAATCAACATTACTAAGTCAATTAAACAATGTAGTTCAAAATTAAACAATGGCACATGTTCCCAAATATTATAAAAATTCGAACTCGATTCAATCATAGTATATCTCAACTCTTATAGGGCAATAAAACTAATACCCAAATATAATTAACTCACAACCCAAAAACAATACTCTGCATTAATAACCCTAAACCTCAATAAAACAAAACTCCCTATAGCAACAACATTAAAATCCCCTAGAAATAATCAATTATCAACAACAAAAATAATACAATACTCAAATCCAATCAAATCATATAATATCATAATAATTAATCACATATACAAAGTTTACAAATAATAAATCATATCACACATAATAATACAAAATATAATACAAACATCTCCAAGTTTCGTGTGATTACCTTTTAGATTGAAACACCAAGTAAAATATATAGGAGCAAGGAACCTTGTTAGATTTAAGGAACAAATAGTCAACGAGTATGATTGATCCGTATGATAGGAAACAAAATTACCGTATTAAAGAAATAGAATACACATGAGGTTCAGTAATTGATAATTGATTTTAGATAACTAAGATGTGTGAATTTGATGAAAAATCATCTTGCTGCCAACTAGTCAAATAACCATACGGTTAAATGGCTTTTTTATATATATATATATATTAGAGATAAAATAATATTATTATAAGGATCCCAACCAGATTAAAAAAAATAGAATTTTATAGTTTAGTAAACAACAAGAGTCCTACTAGATATTAAATAGGGTTTAAGATAATTTTTATAGGATAACAAAAATAGAGCATAAGATCGAATTTATAAATAATTTAAAATATCTTATTTTAGCCATAAAATATATATTCGGGTATTACACCAACCCTCTCGAAGCTGTAGTACCCACCCCACACTACCCCCACCTAAAAAGCCACCACCATGAGCCCCTCCCATATAAAATAAAAAAAAATAAAAAAAAAACATCAAACAAACTTAAAATATAAACGAAAAGGATAATGATAACAAATTATTACCTTCTCATCATAAATTAGGAATTTATTTGGTCTAATTTGACTATTAAAACTATAGAGGTCAAATTTGACCATAAAAATCTCAATAGTTTTAGTACAAAAAGAGAAGGGGGAGGCAACGGCGTCACAACAACAACTTCTAGCGAAAAAAGTGGTAAAACTTCATTATGGGTAGATGAAGAGAGAGAGTGTGGTTTCAAAAAAAAGAGAAAGAGAGAGTACTCTTGAGTAGAGAGAGATTGTGTGGTTTCAAAAAAAAAAAACTTCATTGTGGGTAGATGAAGAGAGAGTGTGTGGTTTCAAAAAAAAAGAGAAAGAGAGAGTATTCTTGAGTAGAGATTGGTAGTGGTGGTGGTGATGCCAATGAAGGTGGTGGTTGGAGGAGATAGAGAGAGAGAATTGAAAATTTAGTTTAATGGGGCAAAAAGTTTAACTTAATTAGATTGGGGTTGATTAGGTGAGAATCATTAACTTAAATTAAGTTATAAGCAAGTTTATGATATTTTATATAATGTGTTAATTGAATTTAAGTAGGGGTATGTTGGTAACTTCAATTAGAAAAAATTTACTAAAAAAATGAAAGTTTTAGTTTGCACCTAATGTGTAACATTCCTTTATGGCAGATGTTGCACATAATATGAATTAGCAGATGTAGTATATCAAGGCTCGATTTTTTAAGACTACTCAATCACCCATATTTTTAATAAAAGTGTATTACGAGATAAATCTCGGACACGTAATTTGTTGTGGCTGCCTTGCCATCCGAGGGACTGTTTGAGTATGAGGGTGTATTTCCATATGTATTTACATTGATTCTTGTAATTTATCGAAAAGGTACGATTCCCACTCCATTCTTCTTAATTTCTCGTTCTTTGTCTCTGTTTATTTTATGAAAGTGTTTAATGTTTTTCCTTTCCTTTCTTTGAGAGAATAGTGGCACAAACGAGGCAATCAACACCTCCTTGAACTTTTGT